GCATTAGAATTCGAAAAGTGTTCGTTCAAAAGTGGGGGGAAATTTAACCGGGAAAGCTTGCAATCATTTCGGATACTTTGGGAACCTGCGAAAATGGGATCGAGGGGGCGAAAATCCAGGGCGCACGATGGCGTGCGGCGATAGGTTCAATGTATTAATGAGGATAAGACGGTTCAGTTAGTGCACGGTTTCGAGGCCCATGATTGAAGCTTTTAAGAACGGCGGAGAATTGACGCGTGGCCACGCGTTGGGGGCAACGAGGAAGGTGCAATCATGTCTCATAAATATGCAGGAATAATGGTCATTAATGAAGTAAGGTCCAGAAAAGCAATAAATGTTTTCGCTTCCTCAAGGCCGAGAGCCGACCAAGAGTGACAGTCGGCGACCTCAGAAGCGAGGGGGCAATGTTTGGGCCCAAAATATTATGATTGGGCCGAGCAGCAGGATGTGTTCGGCCCAAGGTAATAACACATGCTATGGGCCAAATAATGAGACTCGGACCAGCTGGCAGGGTCGGCCAGATCCTATCTTAAGTAGTCCAGATAAATGAGGAAAGGTCGAGGAAATCCTGATGCGACCAGGATTCTTGACCAGCAAGGGATAAAGCCTCAAAAGGAGGAGAATTCAGAATCCCAGTAGGACTAGGATTGTTTGAGTTAAAGGTGAGATGAGACAAGGACTCCCAATCCAAATCAGAATGGGAATCAAGGAGCGAAGTGCTATAAATACAAGAAATTACGCAATAGAAAGGCCTTCACAATCAGCATACAATTGCCCTGCGCAAAACCTCTCAAACACCTTGAGATTTTTCCTTTTCTTTTCCTGCCGACACACCTTCAGTTTGGATAAACAGCACTGTGGAAGCAACCGGTGAGCACCTTCAGTTTGGATAAACAGCACTGCCGCCGCAGAATCAGCCGACCGAGAAACACCTTCAGTTTGGATAAACAGCACTGCGTCGAGGTCGACCGATTATCTATCTAAGTCTCGGCCGAGAAGGGTTTTCGAACCTTTGTTGGTGGAGGTCATCTAACTAAGCCTTTTCGGCATAGTTGGGTGTTACGAGTTGCATTGCTCGGCGTATTGGACGTCGAGTGAGTTTATGATTGGATACTCGCAAGTAAGTTTCAGGGTTCGGCATTCCGACGGCCGAACTACGTTTACCATCAAGACATACATCACATTCGAGTACCTGTGCCCATATAGTTTGGTCTCGATTCGGCGTGCTTATACTCTTACGAATATAATCACAGTGACCGAATCAGGGTCCGACGACCTGTGAACTCCGTAGAATTAGTAGCCTTGTCTTCAGGCTATAGAACCCAGAGACCGAGAGCGTTCCTTCCTCGGTCGCAATCGCAAGATACAGAAGTCGATAGCGCACCCAACGCGACATCACATTTTACTCCTCGGCCGAGCTCGGCCGACGAGTTGGCACGCCCCGCATTCAACCGAAGGACGTAGTTAGCTCATTAGTTACTCGGCCTGCGCGCCACGTAGGTTTTGTAATTTTTGTAGTCAACAACAGCATTATCGTTTGTTTAATAATATTTTTATTATTTTGTAATATTGTTTGTTCCGCATTATGATATTCAACTTGGTACTAAAGCAGGTTTGATCATTCGGGATTTCACGTGCTTCTGTTCAGTATCAGTTTGTCTTGTCGCTGTTAGTTTGAAAAAACAAAAAAAAAAAAAAAAAAAAAACCTAGTCAACTCGCACGCCATCTCTGCAATTTTCGTCGAAACCCTCACGCCGTACCTGACCCGACATCATCGCACCCAATCACCATCCACCCATGTTGCCGCTGCAATCAGGAACCCAGAACCTAACCCACTGATCCGTCTTCATACCATCACCCAGATCCGACCGACCCAGGATTGCATGCCCACTGCTCATCACATCCTTGCTGCACTGCTGCACAGACGACCACCGCACAGCCGCTGTACCACGGAAGTTACTGCACGCACGGTCAGATGGTCGCCTGATCAGAACCTCCTCCGTACCCGACCCGCTTGTCGCCTGCATCCACTGCCCCACACCACTGTTGCTGCTCGACCCGAGAAAACCAAACTCGGATCGAGTTCGTCCTCGCCTTGTACTCTGCCGCAGACGGTCATCGCCAAAAGAAAAAAGAAATTGGTTGAGAGTTTGGCCCACACACGGGAAAAGATGAAAAAAAAAAAAAAAAAAAAAAAGGGAAAAGAAATATTAGGCTGTTTGTTTTGGCCCGTTGTTTTGGTCCACACGGGCAAACTGAAAAAATGGTTAAGCTTGTTTTTAGGTCCACACGATTGATGGCTTGTTTGAGATTATTTTGTGACGGTCACTCGAGTGCTTGGAATTGTGATCATTTAAGTGATAGTGTTTGTCTTTGTTCGTTCGTTACTACAACTGAGATATGGAAACCTCGTCCATTTAGTGACGGTTTCTTTCTATACTTTCAACACTAGCCAATTTGAATCAGAATTAGTTTGCCAGCCAGAATCAACTTGTCAGCAAGAATCAGTTTGTCAATCCAGTCAAGTCCAGTTCGCTAGTCAAGTCAAGTTCGCCAATCAAGTTCGCATGATTGTCTGTCCGCATTACGGAGCCTATTTGTTTGTCCGCGTTGCGGAGCCTGCCTGTCTGTCTGTCCGTGTTGCAAAGTCTGCCTGTGTGTCCGACTAACAAAACCTGCATCCACATCTGCTTGTCAAACCCATGTCATATACCACCATGAGTTTGACAGGGGGTGTTGGAAAATATTAGTATTTTAGTTGATTTGAATGTTTGGTTTTCTGGGCTTAGCCCGTTAGCATTAAGGTTTTGATTTCTTACCTATTAGGATTAGGGTTAATTTATTATAAATAGCATACTTGTTATTCAGTCGAGAATAAGTTAGTCACGATGTAGCCTCTTAGGGTTTTGTAGCCATTCCGGCATTCTCGTTTGTTTAATAATATTCTTATTATTTTGTAGTCTTGTTTGTTCCACTCTGATATTCAACTTTTGGGAAATTGATCCTCAAAATATGATCAAAGTAGTCACCGACAATGCTCCGGTTTGCAAGGTGGCGGGACGTCTTGTTGAGGCAATACTTATTGTCTATACCCTTAACCATTCTTTGAAGAACCTATGTGTACTTATTTCATCTGCAAGAAATTAAGAAGATTATGAGCAATGTAGCTGGATTACAACAACAACTAATGATGTTTGGTTCATAAAGAATTTTATCATGATCCATAATCACTGTTTTAAAAATCCCCGCTTAGGAGCTAGGTGGCTGGCCACCGTCCTGATTAATGCCTAGGCATTTGAAAATTAAGAAGGGGTGCCTAGACCAGCTGAGGCGCCCACCTAGACCACCTAGGCACCCCGCCTAGTCTGCCCAAACCCGTCTAGGCACCTGCCTAGGTTGCGACTCAGTTAGACAGAAAATAGATAACTTTCAATTTGCATCTAATTTTTTTCAATAAATTGTAAGAGACTTGTTGAATACTTAAATGAGCACACACTATATGCTTGTTCCCCATGTTTTCATTATGTTCCAATACTTCATAATACATATGTCATTCTATTTTGTAGTTTATGATGAAATTATATACATTTTAAGTATAAACATACACTTATTTAAATGACATATAGTGGGTTTACTTAAATCCGCCTAGGCGTCTGCCTAGACCCCGCCTAGGCCCTAGGCCCCAGCCCATTGCCTGACTAGCGCTTAGTGTCTTTTAGAACCTTGTCAATAACATGAGGTTGTCCATGGATAATGACCATTGTAAGGTGAAGTTGCTCTCTAGACGCACTTTACTTTCATAATTGAGATGCTTAAAAGATTTAAACAAGTAAAGTAAGGGTAAGAGCACATGGTGATGAATGCAGAATAAGATATGTATAAAGAAGATGATGTGGAAAAAGATAAAAGAAAAAAGGGAACTTTAATGAAAAACTCCAGTTATTGTTCACTTTAACAAAAAATCATATTTTTACATTAAAAAGTCAATCCTGATACTATTCACTTTACCCTTTATTTTGTCCTTATTGTTAAAACTTAAAATTTTCAAGCACATTTCATTAGTTTTCCTAAGAAAAAGTGTTGAATGAACACCTTTGGGCCGAAGTTGATTACAACTGAGCTTCACTTCTCCAATATGTGATATGCTTGACATGGATAAGCCTTGTCTTCACTTAATTTATGAGTTATAGATGCTATGATAGAGAAAGTGAAGGAGAATATCGAAAAGAGCGCAAGCAACAATATCAAGTGTCAAAGTTCCTTGATGCTGTGCATACAATTTTGATTAAGCAAGGGACCAAGAGTAGCACGCCACTCCATTTTTTGGCACACTCTAAATCTATGTAAGTTCTCTAAACTCTAAATTCTGTACATTTTACATCGTAAATTTAAGTTTGATTGCATCATTATAAGTTTATATTTTTTTTTCTCATTCACTTTTAGGTATTTATTGCACAAGTTGGCTTGAAGAGGCTCCTAATTGTAGTGGGTTGTTCAAGGAAGCTTCCACACGAAACAAGCCATAGCTTTGAAACTTATAGGTTATCCTTCATCCTCCTCATGTTGTGAAAGAAATTGGAGCACATATAAAGTATACACTCTTCGAGGAGGGGCAAAACCACACTACAAAGAGTGGAAATTTAATATATTCACACCAACCTTCGTAAACCATCAAGGAGAGAGCCATGAATATGGATTAAGATTGCAAATCTCACTCCTGATGAACTGGACTTCGAGGCCGTATTACTTACTTCTGAAGATTACTATGATAGTGATCTTGAATTAAGTTAGAAATGAATATTTCACTCTTTTGAGATTTAATTTATTTTTGAAATATGAGTCGATGAAATATATTTTTGAACATATATATTATTTTAATTACCGTATCGTTGTTTACAAAAGATTTATCATATTACCGTGATGAATTGCACCGGATACCCCCATTTGTATCAATGCAACATAAGTAATGGAAAAATGTGGGCTTGCAGAAAAAAAGAATTCAAGATTTCTTCCAGGTATATTTTCACAATTTTTATAAGCAGTATCCAATTCATTTTCGAAAGAATTGCACGGATACAGCAATATATAGAAGAAAATTGGGTCACGTATTTGTTTTACATTGTATGAATTGCCACTTTCACTCCCCTCTTTGAAAAATCATCCATTTTTATCCAACCACTCAAGTTTTGTGCTTCTCTTCTTGAGCTCCAAGAGCCATCCAATTTTAAAAAGGACAACTTTCTTTCCTGGCTATTGGCTCCTAAGTTAGTTGCATTGGCTTGTTTCCATTGTCCACGTCTAGGCTCTCTTGCTAACCTCGCTGTTTTCTGAGCTGCGCCCGCGCTTCAGACAAAGCACGGGTTACCTCCTCATCCTCTGGTGTTTCCTTTATCAAAATCTCATAGTCTTCTATTGAAGCTTCCCATTTTTCCAACTGCATGATACATATCATATAAACATTATAACTCAGAAATAACATAATGAAAGAGCAACAACATGAACAACTTGAAAATTAATTTATCGGAACAAAGTGAATATATTATTGGGTACTATGTTCACCTTGGCATTGCAATCTGCTCTTCTTAATCTAGCCTTGCTGTAAGATGGGCGCACATTAAGCGCAGCTGTACAGTCCTCGATTGCTTTATCTAATTGGCTAAGTTTTGAACGACAAGCAGCACGGTTGCATAATAACACCGAGTTATAAGGATCGTGCTCAAGTCCCTCCCCGTATGCAACACATGCCTCGGAGAACCTTGCTGTCTTGAAAAGCTCGTTGCCTTTTGATCGAGCTACTGCAACAACTCGAGCCTTCCTCATAATCATGTTTGCTTCCCTGTTGTTTGAGTCAAGCCGTGATGCTTGTTGAGCTGCCTCTAATGCATCATCCAATCTGCCAAACCATTGCAAAACAAATAAAACAACTATTTGACCAAATTAAGAAAAAGGTTTAATGCATGTGTTGGAAATATCATTTCCGTTTTCTTAATTTATTTTTTATGAACATTATTCCATCCGAGACTGCATAAGGATTAGCATAATCGTGACTGAAATAGCTACTATATAAAGTTATATAACACACTACCTGCCAGCAACCATGTCCACCTGAGCTCTTGTTGCTAACAAATTCGCGTTACCAATAGGACCTAAGAATTTAGTGCAGGCATCAACCTCAAAATTTGGACCGCTGGATAATGCTTCATCTGCTTCCTTGTGCCTATTGAGCTTCAACAAGGCCTCCGCTTGCAAAGCATATATCTTTGTAGAGTTAAAAAAAAAGGGATTCATCATTAGCTAATACACAAAACAGACAAAAAAAAAAAAAAAAAAAAAAAAAAAAAAAATCTACTTTCGATTAAAACTTTTGAGAATCTCATTTTCAGGTAAAACTGAGAAACAAATTCTTATAGACTTATTCATAGGACATCTACTGGAGAATAAGAGAGAGGCAATTATGATAACAATGAGACTTGAATTCGATAATTTAATGGCTGACCTGTGGCGCTGAATCTGCACCCGATAATATAACGCTTTGAGATTCCCTTATGAGGGTGTTCCAATCTCTTAATCTACGAGCCTCAGTGCACTTGTTAAGAAGAGCCTGAATAGATTTTACTTTAGCAATGTCCTCTTGGTCAGCCTCTGGTCCAGCATGCTTGTAGTGATACAAAGCTTTTTCTGCTTCCCCTAATCTATATGCACATAACAAATTAATTTTAAGAACTAGGTGTAACAGAATTTTAAAGACGAAGTTGCAACTACGAACGGAAATTAACATGTGGAACTTTATGTTGTACCTAAGATATAATGTTGCCAGACGATGATGAGCCCTATGATAGTGGGGTTCAATCCGAATGGCTTCTCTGCACTCAAAAACTGCGTCAAGAATTCTACCTAGAGCGGTTAAAGCAGCACTTTTGTTGCTCCTATAAGAAGCCTTATTGGGGTCAATAGAAATTGCAGCATCATACAAAGCCAATGCTTCTGCAAATCTACCATTCTTGTAATCTTCATTTCCCATGATCTTCAATGTTTCAGGGTCCATTCTAGTCGACAATGCTCGACATAAGGAAGCAGGTGGTTCCGGCTCACTCTGTCTTTTCTCATCCTTAACAGTATTAGTCTTCCCCACTTTTACCTGACTAGGCATTGGGACTTCCTCTCTAGCAGTTTTTGGAAGATAATCAAGAATATTATACGGGTTTGCATTTCCTCCGCCGCCTCCACCACCGCCGGCCCCAGGTTGTCTCAAGTTACCCAAATTTCCAAAAAGCATAACATTGCTGGATGAAGCCCTTACAAGGGAACTGCTCCCTTTCGATTTTTGATGATCAGCAATCATGCTATCAAGCTCACCGGATATGCCAAGTGCCTCCTTTGGAACCCTTTTGCCTTGGTTCACATAACCTTGGCTTGGCACCATTTTCTGTTGATATTGCTGCCGCTGTTGTTGTTGTTGTTGTTGTTGCTGCTGCTGCTTCTGCTGCTGCTGCTGCTGTTGTTGTTGTTGTTGTATAGGGGGTGCCCTATTACTATATTGGGAAGGCTTTGTGACCGGTTTGGATGAATCTGATGATACGTTGGATGAATCAAGGAAGGCAGCCTCATCGGAGCCACCGCGACGCCGTTTGGAATTAGGAGTGCTTGGTGTTTTCACTAACGTGGCACTGTTGTTATTGGCTACAGGAAGAGAACCCGTAGAAGTTGTTCTTCTCGGCCAGATACTATTCCGCCCGAAAACTGCACTCAGTATGCCGCAACCTGATTTCTTCTCCGGCGACTCTCCCATTTTTTATTAATTGATCTCTCTCTCCCTGATCAAATTTTGTGCATCGTGTGAGGTAACAAAACAAAGGAAAAGCATCAAGTGCATAAAAAATAATTCTTTTAGGGTTCAAGAGGTTGTAACATACAAAATCACATATTTGGAGGAAAGAAAAATTTAAAAAGAAAGTAAAAATGAGGGAGGACCCAGGAGATTATGTGCATGGCTTCCTGGAGCTGCCCATGGATTTAGAAACAATGCCTCCTTGATTTCTTTCTGCTTTGTGCAAGAGAGATGAAATTGGATTGCATCATTAATTAATTAAAAATGAGAATAAATGGCCGGAAAAGAGAATAGCAGTTTACGGGCTTATTGTTTTATATAATAAAAATTGAGAAATTAAAAAAAAAAAAAAAAAAAAAAAAAAAAACTTTTATAGCTGGGGTTGAATCTTTTTCTGGTTTTAATTTGTTTTGAGTTTCTGATTCTGGATTTGCTTTTTGTTATTTTTCTTTTTCTTCACATTTTCTTTGTTTTTTGTTTTCTGGTGTGGGTGTGGTGCAGAGGTGGAAGCAGAAGACCCGGTCTTGCGTTAAACGACCATCTCTAGATTTTTAGAAATGAAAACAACTCAGGCTGACTCACCCCAACCCAATGTCAACCTGTTATTCCCTTTCTTTTCTTTGAGTTTGAGGACGGCACGTCTTTGTTGGTTTTCAACATCCCACGTATATGAGGTCAGTTCGTTACACCCACCTAAACATAAATGTGTGTGTATATGATGAAGTGCGCATATTTTTTTACACTCAAATTCAAATTTTTTTTTTTTTCATAAATGGGAGCATTTCCAAACATTATTAAAAAAAAGATTAAAATTGTATAAATACTTGTTTGCAGGAAAAAACAAGAAACATAGATGATATGAAATTATGACTGAACTGCTGTGGAAATGAACTTATGGGCTCACAAAACAAACAAAACAATAATAACAACAAAGCCTTTTCCTACTAAGTGGGGTCGGCTATATGAATCCCAGAACGCCATTGTGCTCGATTCTGTATTATGTTTTCCATTAGATCCAAGTACTCTAAGGGGGCGTTTGTTGCGTCGGACTATCTCGGATTGGATTAGCTTCAAGGACTAAGATGGACTGGCTTAGACTAGACTAAACTGGACTAACTTAGTGAAGCGTTTGGTGCAGTATTGGACTAAGAAGCTGGATAATAACAAATTCTAATATTATAGTATTTAATATATAAATTATTAATATTTTATTATGATCTTATCTTTTTCTTTATCTTTTCCTACCATTTTCGTCCCACTCTTTTCCTCTTCTCTCATCATCCCAGCATCTCCCTCTTTTTTTCCTCTTAGACCTCTCAATTCATGTCTCTTTCTCATTCCTGGTCAAACTCCTTATTGATTCCAGTGTCTATTTTTCTGTCCTCCCTCCCTCTCTAGCTATGTGTTGTTCGAATGGAACCTCACGGCTCTAATTTTCCCGACAAGTTGCAGGTTTCCCAATATGTTTTCCGGCCAACCCTCGTTAAATTGGATGAAGTTAGCACCGCCAAAAAATTCATCACCATTCCTAGATCGAGATCTTAGCTTTGAATACTCGAATCTGTCATGGATTTGAAGAAGCCCAAACAGGCCGAGACTTCCAGGCCATTTTCCGGCCACATTCGACCATATTTTGGCCTCTATTCAGATAAAATCGTAATCTTGTCACTCCCAGCTTCAATTTGGTATATTTTATATGAAAGTTGGTTGTGAAATGGATCTGAAAGGGAGTCGGAAAGTTAATGATTGATCTAGGTGACCGGAGATGACAAGGAGTCTGTCGGGAGTAGTCGTTGAGCATGACGAGGACGAGAAAGAGAATATAGTCTTAGCTAGTCCCATGGTTATTGGGGGGTCTCGCTAAGACCTCTTAGTGAAGGGTTTTGTCCATGCTAGTCCCCTTTAGTCTCATTAATGTTAGTCCCAGCATGGAACAAACACAGTATTGGACTAATAGCTAGTCCAGTCCAGTCCAGTCCAACTTAGTGAGGGCAAACAAACGCCCCCTAAGTCTTTTCTTAGAGTCTCTTCCAAAGTCTTCATAGGTCTTCCTCTACCCCTTCAGTCTTGGACCTCCGTCTCTTAGTCGTATCTTCTAACCGGAGCGTCAGTAGGCCTTCGTTGCACATGTCCAAACCAGCATAACTGATTTTCTCTCATCTTTCCTTCAATTTTGCCTACTCTTACTTTACCTTGGATATCCTTATTCCTAATCTTATCATTTCTCGTGTGCCCACACATCCAATGAAGCATCCTCATCTCTGCTACACCCATTTTATGTACGTGTTGATGCTTCACCACCCAGCATTCCGTTCTATACAGCATCGCCAGCTTTATTGCCGTCCTATAAAATTTTCCCTTAAGCTTCAGTGGTAGACGACGGTCACACAACACGCCGGATGCACTATTACTCTTCATCCATCCAACTTGTATTCTATGATTGAGGTCTCCATCTAATTCTCCGTTCTTTTGCAAGATTGATCCTAGGTAGCAAAAGTGGTCGCTTTTTGGTACTTCTTGGTCTCCGATCCTCACCTCTAACTCATTTGGGCCTCCATTTGCACTAAACTTGCCCTCCATATATTTTATCTTTGACCGACTTAGGCGTAGACCTTTAAATTCCAACACTCATCTCCAAAGGTTAAGCTTCGCATTTACCCCTTCCTGAGTTTCATCTATCAACACTATATCGTCTGCGAAAGGCATACACCAAGGAATATCATCTTGAATATGTCCTGTCAACTCATCCATTACCAATGCAAAAAGGTAAGGACTTAAAGATAAGCCTTGATGTAACCCTACAGTTATGGGGAAGCTTTCGGTTTGTTCTTCATGAGTTCTTACGACGGTCTTTGCTCTATTATACATATCCTTTATAGCTTGGATATATGCTACTCGTACTCATTTCTTCTCTAAAATCCTCCAAAAAAAGTCTCTTGAGACCCTATCATACGCTTTTTCCAAATCTGTAAAGACCATGTGTAAATCTTTTTTCATATCTCTATATCTTTCCATCAATCTTCATAAGAGATAGATTACCTCCATGGTTGAGCACCCTAGCATGAACCCGAATTGGTTGTCCGAGACTCGTATCTCTTACCTCAGTCTATTCTCAATGACTCTTTCCCAAAGCTTCATTGTACGACTCATTAGCTTAATACCCCTATAATTCATGCAATTTTGTACGTCGCCCTTATTCTTGTAGATAGGCACCAAAGTGCTCTTTCACCACTCATTTGGCATCTTTTTCGTTTTCAAAATCCTATTGAAAAGGTCTGTGAGTCATGCTATACCCCTCTTTCTCAAGACTTTCTACACTTCGATCGGTATATCATCTGGGCCCACTGGTTTTCTATGCTTCATCTTTTTCAAAGCTACAAGCACTTCTTCCTTCCTAATTCGGCGGTAAAAGGAGTAGCTTCTACTCTCTTCTGAGTTACTCAATTCACCCAAAGAAGTACTCCTTTCATGTCCTTCATTCAAAAGATTATAAAAATAACCTCTCCATCAGTCTTTGACCGCGTTCTCTATAGCAAGAACCTTTCCATTCTCATCCTTGATGCACCTCACTTGGTTTAGGTCCCTTGTCTTTTTTTTCCTTGCTCTAGCTAGTTTATAGATATCCAACTCTCCTTCTTTGGTATATAGTCGCTTATACATATCGTCAAAAGCCGCTAGCTTAGCTTCTCTCACAGTTTTCTTCGCTTCCTGCTTCGCTATTCTATACCTTTCACCATTTTCATGGATCCCATCCTTGTATAAGGCTTTACAACATTCCTTCTTAGCCTTAACCATTGTTTGTACCTCCTCATTCCACCACCAAGATTCCTTTTGGTGTAGAGCAAAGCCCTTGGACTCTCCTAATACCCCTTTTGCTACTTTTCGGATACAACTAGCCATGGAATCCCACATTTGGCTAGCTTCCCCCTCTCTATCCCACACGCATTGGGTGATTACTTCCTCTTTGAAAATGACTTGTTTTTCTCCTTTTAGATTCCACTATCTAGTCCTTGGGCACTTCAAGGACTAGATTGTGGAACCAAAAAAAACTTTTTTTGGTTTAGGAGGATTAAAGAAGATCAAGCAAACCTAGTTAAAAATGGTGCTACATTTCAAATTGAAATAAGGCATGTGGTGTTGTGATCCAAGAATTATTCTTCAACTCAATCTAAATTTGCAGGTAAAGGATCCCAAGTTTGAGTGAATATTGATAAGGTCACGTTTGGTTGGCAAGATAAGATTTGCATTTTTAATAGGCTAGGCTAGTGGGGGTATTATCTAGTGTTTAACAAATATTGAATTTTCAAGATTCAAAAAGTTTATAGAAAACTTCATTTTAATCCTTAAAAAATGAGTTTTAGACTATAACCTTGTGTAAGATTATTTAATTTTAGTCCCTGATACATTTAATCATCTCATTTACTAATAATTTTTTATGTTTTATTTCTTCCCTTTTTCCTATTTTTGACGTATCTGGTTTCGTTCATATCAAGTTCTTTGTTTATGTTTTCACAGTGCACATCATCTGTTTGTGTTATGTTCTAGTTGAAGAATGTTTGTTATTTTTCTGTGAGATTGAAGGCCGATAGCCATTGTTAGGAGATTGAAAGATCGATGGGCATTATTTGAGCACATAAGAGGCCAATAGCCATTGTTGGTTCAAGATTTGTTGATATTCATTAAGCTGTTTCATTGAAAAATGCTAATAGTCATAAGGGTAGTATCTGTGATAGTGTGTTGGGGTTTAAGAACAAGTCTTCTTTGTCTATGATATAAATTTTTGGGTTAAAATTCTCTATAATCTGGATCAAATGGCATAATCAACTGTTAAAATTGAAGGGTTACTTGGTATGCTTATAGTGAAGCTTCAAGATGATAATTTTGTAAAATGAAGTTTTCAGTTTCAATCTGTTCTTATAGGGTATGATCTTTTCAATCATTTCACAGGCAAAGATCCATGTCCACCAATATTTGTTATTAATACAGAGACAGAAGTCACAAAAGAAGTTACTGTGGCCTACAAAGATTGGGTGAAGAAAGATCTAGCATAGCTTAGTCTTCTCATTGCTACTTTGTCTGATGATGTTATAGATCATATTCTTGGTTGCAAGACTTCATGTAAGGCCTGGACATATTTGCAAGAAAGATTTGAATCTGTCTCTATGGTCCGAATCAATCAACTGAAGAGTGAATTTCATACTATTCAAAAAAGTGGTGAATCAGATCAAATTCTTTTATGAATTAAGGCTATTAAGGATCAACTTGTGTCTGCTAGAGAAAGGATCACAGATAATGACTTTCTTATAGCTGTGTTACCTGGATTACTATTAGAATTTGAAATGATAAAGACCGTGATATTGGCTCAAGACTTTCCTATATCGTATAAAGATATGAAGGCTCAACTACTTGGTGCAGAAGCAAGTATTAAGTCAAGAGTGAAATCATTGACTACATCCATCGCAACAATGTATGTTCAAGGACAAAGAAATGGTTCTAATGGGTTCTTTGGTGCATATAATGGTTTTAAGGTTGGTGAAAGTTCAAGCTCTCAAAGGTATCAAGAAAGATATGAAGGAGAACAGTCTACTAATGCTCAATTTGGTTTCATGGAGGATCTCGATTTATGGGGAATGGTAGCAAATCTGTTTAGAAGAGCAGTTTCTCTGTGGGCAATAAAAAATATAATGGCAGTTCAAGAAATTATTCTGGTAATGGAAATCAATTTGGTAACAAGAGTGGTAATGGGAGTTTTAATGGTAGTTTTTCTGGGAATGGTAAAAGCTTTCAGTCACAGAATGAAGATAGTTTCTCTGGAAAATGGTGGTCAGAAGAATAATACCTGGAATGGCAACACAAACTACAAATCTGGTATCTCACCTGGGTACCAAATATGTTCTAGGAGGGGACACACTGCAGCTAATTGT